CCTAAGCCTAAGCCTAAGCCTAAGCCTAAGCCTAAGCCTAAGCCTAAGCCTAAGCCTAAGCCTAAGCCTAAGCCTAAGCCTAAGCCTAAGCCTAAGCCTAAGCCTAAGCCTAAGCCTAAGCCTAAGCCTAAGCCTAAGCCTAAGCCTAAGCCTAAGCCTAAGCCTAAGCCTAAGCCTAAGCCTAAGCCTAAGCCTAAGCCTAAGCCTAAGCCTAAGCCTAAGCCTAAGCCTAAGCCTAAGCCTAAGCCTAAGCCTAAGCCTAAGCCTAAGCCTAAGCCTAAGCCTAAGCCTAAGCCTAAGCCTAAGCCTAAGCCTAAGCCTAAGCCTAAGCCTAAGCCTAAGCCTAAGCCTAAGCCTAAGCCTAAGCCTAAGCCTAAGCCTAAGCCTAAGCCTAAGCCTAAGCCTAAGCCTAAGCCTAAGCCTAAGCCTAAGCCTAAGCCTAAGCCTAAGCCTAAGCCTAAGCCTAAGCCTAAGCCTAAGCCTAAGCCTAAGCCTAAGCCTAAGCCTAAGCCTAAGCCTAAGCCTAAGCCTAAGCCTAAGCCTAAGCCTAAGCCTAAGCCTAAGCCTAAGCCTAAGCCTAAGCCTAAGCCTAAGCCTAAGCCTAAGCCTAAGCCTAAGCCCTAAGCCTAAGCCTAAGCCTAAGCCTAAGCCTAAGCCTAAGCCTAAGCCTAAGCCTAAGCCTAAGCCTAAGCCTAAGCCTAAGCCTAAGCCTAAGCCTAAGCCTAAGCCTAAGCCTAAGCCTAAGCCTAAGCCTAAGCCTAAGCCTAAGCCTAAGCCTAAGCCTAAGCCTAAGCCTAAGCCTAAGCCTAAGCCTAAGCCTAAGCCTAAGCCTAAGCCTAAGCCTAAGCCTAAGCCTAAGCCTAAGCCTAAGCCTAAGCCTAAGCCTAAGCCTAAGCCTAAGCCTAAGCCTAAGCCTAAGCCTAAGCCTAAGCCTAAGCCTAAGCCTAAGCCTAAGCCTAAGCCTAAGCCTAAGCCTAAGCCTAAGCCTAAGCCTAAGCCTAAGCCTAAGCCTAAGCCTAAGCCTAAGCCTAAGCCTAAGCCTAAGCCTAAGCCTAAGCCTAAGCCTAAGCCTAAGCCTAAGCCTAAGCCTAAGCCTAAGCCTAAGCCTAAGCCTAAGCCTAAGCCTAAGCCTAAGCCTAAGCCTAAGCCTAAGCCTAAGCCTAAGCCTAAGCCTAAGCCTAAGCCTAAGCCTAAGCCTAAGCCTAAGCCTAAGCCTAAGCCTAAGCCTAAGCCTAAGCCTAAGCCTAAGCCTAAGCCTAAGCCTAAGCCTAAGCCTAAGCCTAAGCCTAAGCCTAAGCCTAAGCCTAAGCCTAAGCCTAAGCCTAAGCCTAAGCCTAAGCCTAAGCCTAAGCCTAAGCCTAAGCCTAAGCCTAAGCCTAAGCCTAAGCCTAAGCCTAAGCCTAAGCCTAAGCCTAAGCCTAAGCCTAAGCCTAAGCCTAAGCCTAAGCCTAAGCCTAAGCCTAAGCCTAAGCCTAAGCCTAAGCCTAAGCCTAAGCCTAAGCCTAAGCCTAAGCCTAAGCCTAAGCCTAAGCCTAAGCCTAAGCCTAAGCCTAAGCCTAAGCCTAAGCCTAAGCCTAAGCCTAAGCCTAAAGCCTAAGCCTAAGCCTAAGCCTAAGCCTAAGCCTAAGCCTAAGCCTAAGCCTAAGCCTAAGCCTAAGCCTAATCGCTAAGCCTGCGCCTACTCGCTAAGCCTGCGCCTACTCGCTAAGCCGAATTAAGACTTCCAAAAATCCAAGACATCGACGAAAATGAGAAAACTGCAAAAGTTTTGGACATCAAGTGGAAAAATCCAAAAATTACTTGCAAATTTTGCACATCAAGTGCAAACAGCCAAAAATTACGTGCAATCGGCGCATTGTAGCGCATGCACAACAAAAGGAAAAAAATCACCCCTTACCCCATCCTCCCAAAATACCCCACCCGCGCCGCACCCCCACCCCACCGCAAGCAACCCCGAAAGCTTGCAACAAACAAAAAATTCGAATTCCTTTACCCGAATCGCTAGTCAAGTTTCGGCTGGGGAAACGGCTATTTTTGGAGTTAATTCTCTCCTCTGCCGTCCTCTCTCTTCGCTATTCTCTCTCGCAAAAGGCTTAACTTTAAGGCCAAGTTTAACCATGAAGGAGATGAGCTAGAAAGACGGGACAAAAACCAAAAGACGTGAAATCGAATGTAGAACCTACAGCCAAAAAATCTCGAGTCCAATCACAAAATGGCCAAAGTTACGGCCAAAAAACGAGTCTAAAATACGCCTCAGGCAAAATTGACAAGTGGCACCAAAAAATTCGGAACAGCACGGCCAAACTGTGTATGAATCAAAAAAAAGTTCAAATATCCCAGAAATCGAAGCCTGAGTCTAAAGAATATATATAAGCCTAAGCCCAAGCCTAAGCCTAAGCCTAAAGTTACGGCGAAAAAACGGGTCTAAAATACGCCTCAGGCAAAATTGACAAGTGGCACCAAAAAATTCGGAGGTGCACGGCCAAACTGTGTATAAATCAAAAAAAATTTCAAAAATCCCAGAAATCGAAGCCTCAGTCTAAAGAATATATATAAGCCTAAGCCTAAGCCTAATGCCGGAGGTATAACTAAGCCTCACCATGAAGGAGAGCAGCTAGAAACACGGGACAAAAACCAAAAAACGTGAAATTTAACGCAGATCCTGGAGCAAAAGAATCTCGGCTCCAGTCACAACTTGGCCAAAGTTACGGCCGAAAATAGCCTGAGGCTAAATGTGCCTGAGGCTAAGTGCCTGAGGCAACTTTCTTCAAATTTCAAATTTTTCCCATCATCATGGGACAATCAGCTTTCGAACAAGCCCACTCCCGACCTTAACGGACGAAAATTTTTTTTAAATCCCTCAGGCATAACTAAGTCTCACCATGAAGGAGATCAGCTAGAAAGACGGGACAAAAACCAAAAGACGTGAAATCGAACGCAAATCCCGGAGCAAAAGAAATCTCGAGTCCAATCACAAATTGGCCAAAGTTACGGCCGAAAATAGCCTTAGGCCAAATTGCCTGAGGCTAAGTGCCTGAGGCAACTTTCTTCAAATTTTTCGAATTCGTCCGCTCCGCTGGTGTGTGGAGCACGCGTGTAGATGGGAAGGGGGGAGCGGAAAGGGGTAGGGGGTGCGCGCGAAGCGCGCCACCCAGTCCTCCGCGTTTTTTGGTCAATAACTTCCGATTTTTTCAAAAATGACGACTTTTTTGCAGCTAGCGACTCGGGACCACTTCCATCGGATGCGCACCGAAATTCTAAGTCATAAAAAATAGGTTTTGGGAGGGGCGATTGGCAGAGCGCGTGGCTGGAGCCGAAAAACCGCAAAATTCGGAAAAACATTTTCGGCCGTTTCTCGCCGATGAAGCGGCCGATCGGGATGGGGGTATTTTTGCCTCGTAGCCCTGTCGAAGCTCTCTCGAATCACACCACTCCCGACCTTAACGCACAACTTTGATTTTTCGGCCACGCGCAGGCCGCGCCCACTCTTTGGAAAAAAATTTTTCTATTTTTCCCATGATTAGTGGACGATCATCTTTCGAACAAGCCCACTCCCGACCTTAACGGACGAAAAAGTAGAAAGCCGGAAAAATGCAAATTTGGCCTAATTTGCATAAAAGACAAGGGTGTAAAAAATTTTTTCTATTTTTCCCATCATCGCAGCACCGAGCGCTTTCGAATGAGCCCACTCACAAGCTTAACGGAGCAAAAAAAATGTTTTAGGCTTAATAAACCTAAAAAAAAATTTTTTTAAACACCAAAACCACATACTTCCCGGAGGGCTAGAGCGAAAATTCAAAAAGATCCGTGAAATTCAGCCGACTGGCTACCATTGATTAAAAAATCAGAGTTAATTCCTCGATCTAAATATATTGAAAGCCTGAGCCTGATCGCTAAGCCTAAGCCTACTCGCTAAGCCTGCGCCTACTCGCTAAGCCTGCGCCTACTCGCTAAGCCGAATTAAGACTTCCAAAAATCCAAGACATCGACGAAAATGAGAAAACTGCAAAAGTTTTGGACATCAAGTGGAAAAATCCAAAAATTACTTGCAAATTTTGCACATCAAGTGCAAACAGCCAAAAATTACGTGCAATCGGCGCATTGTAGCGCATGCACAACAAAAGGAAAAAAAAATCACCCCTTACCCCATCCTCCCAAAATGCCCCACCCGCGCCGCACCCCACCCCACCGCAAGCAACCCCGAAAGCTTGCAACAAACAAAAAATTCGAATTCCTTTACCCGAATCGCTAGTCAAGTTTCGGCTGGGGAAACGGCTATTTTTGGAGTTAATTCTCTCCTCTGCCGTCCTCTCTCTTCGCTATTCTCTCTCGCAAAAGGCTTAACTTTAAGGCCAAGTTTAACCATGAAGGAGATGAGCTAGAAAGACGGGACAAAAACCAAAAGACGTGAAATCGAATGTAGAACCTACAGCCAAAAAATCTCGAGTCCAATCACAAAATGGCCAAAGTTACGGCCAAAAAACGAGTCTAAAATACGCCTCAGGCAAAATTGACAAGTGGCACCAAAAAATTCGGAACAGCACGGCCAAACTGTGTATGAATCAAAAAAAAGTTCAAATATCCCAGAAATCGAAGCCTGAGTCTAAAGAATATATATAAGCCTAAGCCCAAGCCTAAGCCTAAGCCTAAAGTTACGGCGAAAAAACGGGTCTAAAATACGCCTCAGGCAAAATTGACAAGTGGCACCAAAAAATTCGGAGGTGCACGGCCAAACTGTGTATAAATCAAAAAAAATTTCAAAAATCCCAGAAATCGAAGCCTCAGTCTAAAGAATATATATAAGCCTAAGCCTAAGCCTAATGCCGGAGGTATAACTAAGCCTCACCATGAAGGAGAGCAGCTAGAAACACGGGACAAAAACCAAAAAACGTGAAATTTAACGCAGATCCTGGAGCAAAAAGAATCTCGGCTCCAGTCACAACTTGGCCAAAGTTACGGCCGAAAATAGCCTGAGGCTAAATGTGCCTGAGGCTAAGTGCCTGAGGCAACTTTCTTCAAATTTCAAAATTTTCCCATCATCTGTGGACAATCGGCGTTCGAACAAGCCCACTCCCGACCTTAACGGACGAAAATTTTTTTTAAATCCCTCAGGCATAACTAAGTCTCACCATGAAGGAGATCAGCTAGAAAGACGGGACAAAAACCAAAAGACGTGAAATCGAACGCAAATCCCGGAGCAAAAGAAATCTCGAGTCCAATCACAAATTGGCCAAAGTTACGGCCGAAAATAGCCTTAGGCCAAATTGCCTGCGGCTAAGTGCCTGAGGCCACTTTCTTAGAATTTTGCGAATTCGTCTGCACCGCTGGTGTGTGGAGCACGAGTGTAGGTGGGAAGGGAGAAGCGGAAAGGGGTAGGGGGTGCGCGCGAAGCGCGCCACCCAGTCCTCCGCGTTTTTTGGTCAATAACTTCCGATTTTTTTCAAAAATGACGACTTTTTTTGCAGCTAGCCACTCGGGACCACTTCCATCGGATGCGCACCGAAATTTTATGTCATAAAAAATAGGTTTTGGGAGCGGCGATTGGCAGAGCGCGTGGCTGGAGGCGAAAAACCGCGAAATTCCGAAAAACATTTTCAACCGTTTCTCGCCGATGAAGCGGCCGATCGGGATGGGGGTATTTTTGCCTCGTAGCCCGGTCGAAGCTCTCTCGAGCCACACCACTCCCGACCTTAACGCACAACTTTGGTTTTTCGGCCGCGCGCAGGCCGCGCCCACTATTCGGAAAAAATTTTTTTCTATTTTTCCCATCATCAGGGGCTGATCGGCGTTCGAACAAGCCCACTCCCGACCTTAACGGACGAAAAAGTAGAAAGCCGGAAAAATGCAAATTTGGCCTAATTTGCATAAAAGACAAGGGTGTAAAAAATTTTTTCTATTTTTCCCATCATCGCAGCACCGAGCGCTTTCGAATGAGCCCACTCACAAGCTTAACGGAGCAAAAGAAATCTCGAGTCCAATCACAAATTGGCCAAAGTTACGGCCGAAAATAGCCTTAGGCCAAATTGCCTGAGGCTAAGTGCCTGAGGCAACTTTCTTCAAATTTTTCGAATTCGTCCGCTCCGCTGGTGTGTGGAGCACGCGTGTAGATGGGAAGGGGGAGCGGAAAGGGGTAGGGGTGCGCGCGAAGCGCGCCACCCAGTCCTCCGCGTTTTTTGGTCAATAACTTCCGATTTTTTCAAAAATGACGACTTTTTTTGCAGCTAGCGACTCGGGACCACTTCCATCGGATGCGCACCGAAATTCTAAGTCATAAAAAATAGGTTTTGGGAGGGGCGATTGGCAGAGCGCGTGGCTGGAGCCGAAAAACCGCAAAATTCGGAAAAACATTTTCGGCCGTTTCTCGCCGATGAAGCGGCCGATCGGGATGGGGGTATTTTTGCCTCGTAGCCCTGTCGAAGCTCTCTCGAATCACACCACTCCCGACCTTAACGCACAACTTTGATTTTTCGGCCACGCGCAGGCCGCGCCCACTCTTTGGAAAAAATTTTTCTATTTTTCCCATGATTAGTGGACGATCATCTTTCGAACAAGCCCACTCCCGACCTTAACGGACGAAAAAGTAGAAAGCCGGAAAAA